GAGTGAGAGTGATGTTGAGAGTGAGAGTGATGCTGAGAGTGATGCTGAGAATGATGCTGAGAGTGATGCTGAGAGTGAGAGTCATGTTGAGAGTGATGCTGAGAATAAGAGTGATGTTGAGAGTGATGATGAAAGTAAGAGTGATGTTGAGAGTGATGCTGAGAGTGAAAGTGGTGTTGAGAGTGAGAGTGGTGTTGAAAGTGTTGCTGAGAGTAATGCTAATGGTGAGAGTGGTGTTGAGAGTGATGCTTAGAGTGAGAGTGATGTTTAGAGTGAGAGTGGTGTTAAGAGTAGTGCTGAGACTGCGAGTGGTGTTGAGAGTTGTGCTGAGAGTGATGGTGGTGTTGAGAGTGATGCAGAGCGTGAGAGTGATGTTAAGAGTGGTGTTGAGATAGATGTTGAGAGTGATGCTAAAAGTGAAAGTGATGCTGAGAGTGAGAGTAGTGTTGAGAGTGATGCTGAGAGTGAGAGTGATATTGAGAGTGAGAGTGATGCTGAGAGTTATACTGAGAATAAGAGTGATGTTGAGAGTGATGCTGAGAGTGAGAGTGGTGTTGAGGGTGATGCGGAGATTGTGAGTGATGTTGAGAGTGAGAGTGATGTTGAGAGTGAGAGTGATGTTGAGAGTTATAATGAAAGTAAGAGTGATGTTGAGAGTGATGCTGAGAGTGAAAGTGGTGTTTAGAGTGGTGCTGAGGGTTATGCTAATTGTGAGAGTGGTTTTGAGAGTAATGCTTAGAGTGAGAGTGATTTTTAGAGTGAAAGTGGTGTTGAGAGAAATGCTGAGACTGCGAGTGGTGTTGAGAGTTGTGCTGAGAGTGATGCAGAGCGTGAGAGTGATGTTCAGAGTGGTGCTGAGATAGATGTTGAGAGTGATGCTAAAAGTGAAAGTGATGCTGAGAGTGAGAGTAGTGTTGAGAGTGATGCTGAGAGTGACAGTGATGTTGAGAGTGATGCTGAGAGTGAGAAGTGGTGTTGAGAGTGATCCTGAGAGTGAGAGTGGTGTTGAGAGTTGTGTTGAGAGTGGTGCTGAGAGTGATGCTGAGGATGGTGCTGAGAGTGATGCTGAAAGTGATGTTGAGAGTGATGCTGAGAGTGAGAGTGGTGTTGAGAGTGGTGCTGAGAGTGAGAGTGGTGTTAAGAGTGGTGTTGAGAGTGGTGCTGAGAGTGAGAGTGATGTTGAGAGTGAGAGTGATGCTGAGAGTTATACTGAGAATAAGAGTGATGTTGAGAGTGATGCTGAGAGTGAGAGTGGTGTTGAGGGTGATGCGGAGAGTGCGAGTGATGTTGAGAGTGAGAGTGATGTTGAGAGTGAGAGTGATGTTGAGAGTTATAATGAAAGTAAGAGTGATGTTGAGAGTGATGCTGAGAGTGAAAGTGATGTTGAGAGTGGTGCTGAGAGTAATGCTAATGGTGAGAGTGGTTTTGAGAGTAATGCTTCGAGCGAGAGTGATTTTTAGAGTGAAAGTGGTGTTGAGAGTAATGCTGAGACTGCGAGTGGTGTTGAGAGTTGTGCTGAGAGTGATGCAGAGCGTGAGAGTGATGTTCAGAGTGGTGCTGAGATAGATGTTGAGAGTGATGCTAAAAGTGAAAGTGATGCTGAGAGTGAGAGTAGTGTTGAGAGTGATGCTGAGAGTGACAGTGATGTTGAGAGTGATGCTGAGAGTGAGAAGTGGTGTTGAGAGTGATCCTGAGAGTGAGAGTGGTGTTGAGAGTTGTGTTGAGAGTGGTGCTGAGAGTGATGCTGAGGATGGTGCTGAGAGTGATGCTGAAAGTGATGTTGAGAGTGATGCTGAGAGTGAGAGTGGTGTTGAGAGTGGTGCTGAGAGTGAGAGTGGTGTTAAGAGTGGTGTTGAGAGTGGTGCTGAGAGTGAGAGTGATGTTGAGAGTGAGAGTGATGCTGAGAGTTATACTGAGAATAAGAGTGATGTTGAGAGTGATGCTGAGAGTGAGAGTGGTGTTGAGGGTGATGCGGAGAGTGCGAGTGATGTTGAGAGTGAGAGTGATGTTGAGAGTGAGAGTGATGTTGAGAGTTATAATGAAAGTAAGAGTGATGTTGAGAGTGATGCTGAGAGTGAAAGTGATGTTGAGAGTGGTGCTGAGAGTAATGCTAATGGTGAGAGTGGTTTTGAGAGTAATGCTTCGAGCGAGAGTGATTTTTAGAGTGAAAGTGGTGTTGAGAGTAATGCTGAGACTGCGAGTGGTGTTGAGAGTTGTGCTGAGAGTGAGAGTGGTGTTGATAGTGATGCTGAGAGTGAGAGTGATGCTGAGACTGAGAGTGGTGTTGAGAGTATTGCTAAAAGTGAGAGTGTTGTTGAGAGTTGTGCTGAGAGTGAGGCTGGTGTTGAGTGATGCTGAGAGTGAGAGTGATGCTGAGAGTGAGAGTGGTGTGCAGAGTGATGTTGAGTGTGAGAGTGATGTTGAGAGTGATGTTGAGAGTGAGAGTGATGTTGAGAGTGTTGCTGAGAGTGAGAGTGATGATGAGAGTGTTGCTGAGAGTGAAAGTGGTGTTGAGAGTGAGAGTGATGTAGAGAGTGAGAAGGGGTGTTGAGAGTGATGTTGAGAGTAAGAGTGGTTTTGAGAGTGGTGCTGAGAGTGAGAGTGGTGTTAAGAGTGGTGTTGAGATTTGTGCTGAGAGTGATGCTGAAAGTGAGAGTGATGCTGAGAGTGGTGCTGAGAGTGAGAAGTGGTGCTGAGAGTGGTGTTGAGAGTGAGAGTGATGCTGAGAGTGAGAGTGGTGGTGAAAGTGGTGTTGATAGTGAGAGTGATTGTGAGAGTGGTGTTGAGAGTGATGCTGAGAGTGAGAAGTGGTGTTGAGGGTGAGAAGTAATGGTCAGATTGAGAAGTTACTCTGAGAGTGAAAAGTGATGCCACTGAGAGTGAGAACTGATGCTGAGAGTGAGAGTGCACCACGTTGGAGTGAGAGCTACATTCAGGGTGAGAGTGCACCACGTTGGAGTGAGAGCTACATTCAGGTTGAGAGTGCACCACGTTGGAGTGAGAGCTACATTCAGGGTGAGAGTGCACCACGTTGGAGTGAGAGCTACATTCAGGGTGAGAGTGCACAACGTTGGAGTGAGAGCTACATTCAGGGTGAGAGTGCACCACGTTGGAGTGAGAGCTACATTCAGGGTGAGAGTGCACCACGTTCACATTTATAGTGTGTTGGCTTTTTTTGTTGTTGTTTTTTTCCATCACTAGGAAATATTTCCTTATTCTTATTTTCAAAAGCTTTTCAGTATTCCAGTGTCCTTTTGTGTGTGTCTTGATTGGATTTCTTTGGACCGGTGACGTGGCAGGCAGGGTTGGATTTCCCATAGGGCCAACTTAGGCCATGGGCTAGGGCGCACCAATCAAGTGTATACAAAAGAAATAACATCCAAATATTTAAAAATTGCTCAGTATTAATTTGAAAGCAGCCATATAAAAATGATGTTGTAGTTGTAGTGTACCGGCAGGTTTCATTAAATGGTAGTGTGTTTCAAAGATTAGGGTTTTTTGTTTCTTTAACTTTAAAACTATTTACTATTATAATAACTTTATATATTTAATCGGAAGTTGGGCCACAGTAAACATTTTTGAGGTGTGTGTGTGTGGGGGGGGGGGGGGCAGAATGATGTTAAATCAGGCCCTGGTGATAGGCCATGCATGCGGTGCCAGAATTGTGAGTTTATAAATAGAAACATGAGGATTGTATTATATCTTAAGTCTTAACTTTGTTTAGAACATTCAATTCAAGGTTCATTTATTGAATAATATTGCTTGAGATGCTTTTGAAGGTGGGCACGTGGTGGTGGGGGGACCAATGCAAATGCTTAGGGAATCTTTATCCCCGCCTGAGCCAGCCAAATTTGCCCCCCCCCCCCCACTTTTTCCCCCAACAAAAAGAACGCTGCATTTTAGGAACAAATGCACCCACAAAATATAATGTAAAACTAAATAATGCCTCTGGGATCGAACCGCCCCCCTCCACCACTGTGAGTATGACTGGTGTCATTTTCAAGTTACAAGTGGTTTACTTTTGCAGTTCAGGAGAAACAAGTTGAGCTCAAGTAAGTAGGTACTTGGTTAGAATGCTCCTCTTTCCCGCATTTGAAGAGGGACACCACCAAACACCCCCATTTTTTTCCAATCTGAGATGTTTTTACAAACTGAGAACTCATCTCTTTCCATCTTCCCTCCCATCTCCTCTTTCCGTCTTCCCTCCCATCTCCTCTTTCCGTCTTCCCTCCCATCTCCTCTTTCCGTTTTCCCTCCCATCTCCTCTTTCCATCCTCCCTCCCATCTCCTCTTTCCGTCTTCCCTCCCATCTCCTTTTTCCATCTTCCCTCGCATCTCCTCTTTCCGTCTTCCCTCCCATCTCCTTTTTCCTTCTTCCCTCCCATCTCCTGTCATGTACCAACAACAAACCCATTTCGTCACAAACCACATTATATCTTTCCACACCTTTCATCCCGCCTCTTTCACTCTCCCATCCAATTTGAATATCGAACCCCCCCCCCCCCCCCCCCCCCCCCCCCCCCCCCCCCACCGACACTCTTCGCGCTTACCAGCTTACTCTGACCCATCTTGAGAATAATCAACTTAAAATTAACCATAACTTCACTGTAAAAAATACAAATTACAAAGTAATAATTCTTCACAAAACTTGATCCAAAAAAAGTACCAACTTCTAGTACTTTTTGTTTTTTGAAATAACTATTCAACTAATAAGGATGACATGCAGCTACACAAACCTTTGCTAATCTCTTGTGCTAGTAAGTTTTCAAGCTGCCTGCTCTCAACAGCATAGTGGTCCACAGGCAGCTTTTAACATTTCAACTACTCACTGTATTACATTATAACCTTAGCTAAATTTCTTGTGGACTCTATGAACTCTATCCCAACATTTATAATTTGTATGTATGTTTGCACTAAGATGATCATCACCTGTCACGTTTAAAGATAAAACCCCAGAAATTCACTGTAACTTCTTAATGATACAAGATGACAGCGTTTTTGCGTTCTATAATGTGTATTTATTTATGTGTATTTATTAACTTATATTATGTGCATCAAAAAATGTTAATTGCTTTTTGGACTATTTCGTTAAGATAAAAGCCAATAATATCAGGTAATTTCGTTTTTCTTTTTTTGCAAACAATTATAAGTTTCTTTATAATTCAGTATGATTTATTGCAATGAAAATTTATCAAATTTGTTCCTAGCTTATAGAAACATGAATTAAAAAACACCATTTTGCCCATTACAATATATAATATATACACTACGTACATATTAACATTTTTATTTCCAGTTGCTACAACCATAGATAGACCAAATGTACATCAAGGGCCGTATGAGATTACATGATAAGAATGAACTGAATTAAATTGAATTGGTTCTGAGAAAGAGAATAGCTTCTATAAGATCCTCTTCCATCTCTGATCTAAAGTCAGATTTCAAGACCTGGAGGGCAGAACACATTCGCTCCAGACTGACTTGTGTCAGCGGTAAAGCTGTCACAGCGTGAGCAGAATTTTGCACCATTAATGGATACCTGGGTATTGCCTCTTTGGCGTTAAGTTTCAGAGTGCAGTCCACTTGTTCTACCTCCCTCAGGGCGTTGTTGAAGTCCACTTTGAATTGGTACATCCCCATTTGAGACTTCTCTCCGCATTCCTCCAGATTCGACCTGCGGCGCTTCGCCAGCTCTTGCTCATCTAAATACCTTTTGGAAAACTGATCATCATCCCCAATGTCCATAGGTTGGGATGAGAAAGAGGTTGAACCTATGTAAGGTAACTGCTCTACAGGCTCATAATCCCATGGCAAAAACTCCATTCGTATGGCAAAAGAACATAAAGCATTCTTTGCTCTAATCTTCTGTTCACCTGTGAGAGTAACTCTGTACATGGGATCTGCATATATTGCCGCCAGGAGAATGTCGTTATCCAACAGCTGAGTTTCCCTGCGAATCATCGAGTTTTTAATACCATCCGCGATTGTCCCACCGATCAGCGACAGGCAGAAAATTAGGTTCCTCCATTCCTTATAAAAGACGCCAGGTGTCAAATCGGCCGACTGCAATTTTTGGGTCACGCCGTACGGATGGCGCAGTAAGGCCTCAAGTACCCGTACCTCTTCCCATTCCGCCTCTGTCATGTTGATTTCTGGGTTGCCCGTGTCCATGAGGTAAGGTTTTAGCTCTAAGAGCCGCTTGATCATCAAGTAAGTACTGCCCCAGGATCTCACATGATCTACAAGGACGCCCTTCCCAGCATGCAGCTTGAGCATGGCATCCAAATGAGGCGCTTTGGCGGCCGACACGATTTTTCTCAACCTCTCAATCAACTTCGCAACCTGCCTCTCTTGCAAACCGTCACGCATCGCAAGCTGTAGCGTGTGGACAGCACAGCGCGTATGGTCTATTTGCATGAGTCTTGCAGCCGAATCAATGAGCACATCCACAGCGTCATCGTTCTCACAGTTTTCTGGTATTTCCATATCATCATAATTCTCTGTCACCTCTTCTCCTCCCTCAGCTTTCTCAACTGTGTTCTTTCTCAAGTTGCTCGCATGGTCACTGACTATGGACAAAACTTGGCCTTTACTAATGCCAAACTCTTCTAAAACATTCACCACCAGCTTCTGAAGGTATTCTGCTGAATGGTGAGCTTCCGTGCACCTCAATGCCAATGTCCGCATGACAAAGTCTTTTCGCTCGTCCAGAAACTGAACATTTATTGTGAAATAATGAAATTTCTGACGGGTGCAAGTATCCAGCTTCAGGTGAACAAATTTACGATAAAGAAGTTCCTTTACGGCATCCTTTTGCCTCTTAGCTTCTTCTATAACAAGTGTTTTAATGCTGTCTCTTTCTAATGAGACCCCGAAATGCTGTGCAATATCTCCATTCAAACCAAGGAAAGCTGGACTAGAGAACAAACTTGGAGGAACGGCACTCTTGACCACCATTTCAATAATGCAGCTTTTGAATTTGTCGGCTGTCATGGACACCGTCACTCTCCTGGCTGATGAGGTTTTAAACTGACGGACCAGCTGAGGCTTCATAGAATCTTTTCCTTCCTTGGATCTTTTAGGTCGCTTGGGTTCTTTCTTTACACGCACTTGACCAGAAGTACAAGGGATATAACTCCCGGTTGGTCTCCCTGCCGCTGCATCTTTGGCTATAATGAGCATCAGTACAGCAGGATGGTGACGCTGCAGATGACGTTTCAAATTGGATGCCCGTGATGGAGAGCTTTTACCCAATCCACAGAATGCACTTATTTTAGCTCCACACGATTTCATTGAATTTTCATCTACTACCTCACACACATAATATTTCCCATCATCAGTTAAAGAGAAATGTTGGTAGACTGCAGATTTTGGCTTCTCTCTGCCTCTTTTTTTCTCCATGATGTCGATCTTGAAAAAAAATTGTAAAAGATTCAATCAAAATTAAATAAACTGTTTATGGAGAAAATAAAATATATTAAATTAATAGCATTGAGTTCTTTAAAATCTCTTTTCATAAAAAATTTTCAAATAAAAATATATTTCGCAGAAACTTATTTCACACATCAAAACCATATATTGCCAACAAAACTTAATTGCAGTTGTAGTCTACTAAGTTTTTATTCTGGATTATTTAGTTTGGCACAAGAAACATGAAATTTCAATTAAAAAGGGACACCTACCTCTGTGAAAGGCAGACCCAGGATCCTTTAATAACCATACAGTGGCCAAAGGTGCGTGACCTTGGATAGGTGATAAACATGTAAGAGGTAAACTTGACCTTGACAGTTACCTGAAATTAGTTATTGATTAGAAATACTTTACAACTGGCTTAAAAAAAAGGAACAATACCTTGACATTATTTAATTTTAAAAATGATTTTGAAACTCATTATATTTGAAATAATATAAAAACTAAAAGAAGGTAAAATCCTTGCAGCTGGACCATTGTCTTGTAGCATGTTCGTGATTATATGATTTCAAATTAATGCAGGGTTTTACCATATCCTAGGTGAATAGTTTGGGGGGATTTTTTTTAAGTAGGAAGATATGTGAATTTGTTTATTCATTTTTAAAGATGTATTAAAAAGATTCTTGTGGTTAATGAACTATGCCGTGTTGACTTTGGACTTATTTTAATGGATTTGTGTTTGTATTTTACAGAGTATATATTTTCCAAACTCTTTCCCCAGTACTTTTCAAAACATTAATGTGCGGTTCAATTTATACAATTTCAGGAGCCATGCCAGGACAGAGTTATATCTGAATTCACATTAAAGTAGGTCAACAAACGGTGCCTTTCCACTATATAATTTGTTATTTGTATTTATACTGGTACTGGTCACTCTCCTGGTGTAAAGCCTTGGACTGGAGTAAAGACAAATAAGTCCAAATAGTTAAAACACACCCTCAAGAGAGACATCAACAGAGCAAGACAGTCCCTGGAGTGGAATCCCTAGGGCAAACAATGGAGAAGAAGACCCAAGAAATCATAGAGGCGCAGTGTGCTGGATGAGGCAGAGAACATGGAAGTGCAGTGTGTTGAATGACGCTCAGAGAACATGGAGCCGCAGTGTGCTGGATGAGACAGAGAACATGGAGGCGCAGTGTGTTGGATGAGACAGAGAACATGGAGGCGCAGTGTGTTGGATGAGACAGAGAACATGGAGGCGCAGTGTGTTGGATGAGACAGAGAACATGGAGGCGCAGTGTGTTGGATGAGACAGAGAACATGGAGGCGCAGTGTGTTGGATGAGACAGAGAACATGGAGGCGCAGTGTGTTGGATGAGACAGAGAACATGGAGGCGCAGTGTGTTGGATGAGACGCAGTGTGTTGTTTTTCTTTGACTTCTTTATTTCTTAATTAACCAACAAGCAGGGCAAGTGGTAAGAGAAGCAACTCATTGTAATTTGGAACAGTGGTTCTCAAACTTTTCAGTATACCTCAACCATTTTTTAAAAACGTATATGTAAGTAGATGTATTTACATCTTTAAATATCTGTATATATATCTATATATATATATATTATATCTAAATATATATCTATATCTATATACTGTATATATGTGTGTGTGAGAGAGACTCTGAGGGAAAGAGACGATGAAAGAGAGACTCAGAGCAAGAGGGAGACAGAGAGAAAAAGAGAGTGACTCAGAGAGAATGAGAGAGAGAGTGACTCAGAGTCATTGTTTCAATCAGTGTGTCTGTGTAATGGGAAAAAAAGAAGTCTTGTATTTAATATCCCTGGAGCCAAAAAATAACAAACAGTGAATATTACTATGATCATGGTCTCTGCCTAGGTTTTTTTTTTAGTGATAGTCAACCTAATTTATGGGGCTATCATAACTGGGCATTGCAACAGAAGGGAGAGGGGGTGGGGGAGCATCATTACATGACATACAAAAAAAGTCAAGTTTCAGACCCCCACTGAAAATAAAAACATGTGGCAAAAAGGCTCAACACAGTGCTTCATAACCTGGTCAACACAGGAAACAAGAGATGTGAAGCTAGATGGTGCTGGACTAGGAAATTTGACACAGGTAATTTCAATATTTAGCCATAGTGTAAATGAAATGTTGTGAGTGTATTATTGATCATAGCCTTCTTAATAACATTAGCATTCATTTAGTAACCTGGAGACTGTTTATCATTTTATCTTTTTTTTTCTTATTCTTATCTATTATAATCAGACTAAGATGGGACTTCTTCAGACCTACTACATCAAGACTGTCACGACATTAAATTCCTCTGCTGATTAAATGAAAGATGCTACTTGGGTTGCATTCTATCACTCGACATAAACTGATGACAATCCTATGCACGAGAAATTTCCTACTGGTCCAGATTGTTTCTTTCAGCAAACCAAAGCAAGGGATCTAACTAACTTTCCCCTCTCATACTCACAAAAATCAGCAAACAACCTATTTAAACCCTAAGGTTGCACCTAACATTTTAGAAATGTATACAAGGCTAACAGAGGCAAATTTGTTAAAGAGGTGTATCCTTGTTAAGACTCAAAATATGAAGGAAAGCCTCCACAGGATGATTTGCAATAGATGCCCAAAACATGTTTTCTGGCTAACCAGAGTAAATATTGCCACAACTTTTTTCTGCTGATGAATTAAATCAGGGGGCTGTGGCAACACAAGGGTATCTTGCTGCTGCAGGTTGTGGGGTAACAAGTAAGAGTGCTGCAGGTTGTAGGGTAACAAGTAAGAGTGCTGCAGGTTGTAGGGTAACAAGTAAGAGTGCTGCAGGTTGTGGGGTAACAAGTAAGAGTGATGCAGGTTGTGGGGTAACAAGTAAGAGCGCTGCAGGTTGTGGGGTAACAAGTAAGAGTGATGCAGGTTGTGGGGTAACAAGTAAGAGTGCTGCAAGTTGTGGGGTAACAAGTAAGAGTGCTGCAGGTTGTTGGGTAGCAAGTAAGAGCGCTGCAGGTTGTGGGGTAACAAATGGAAATCGGGGCTAAGAGAAATTGCAGGCAGCAAAAAAATTATATTTTTTAAAAAGCAGATATTGCCATTCTAGACATGGCTAGAGCAAATAAAACAAACAGCACAATTAAAAGAAAATGATACCCATCAGACAGAAGAGGATGGGGCATCTTATACTGCTGGGGAATTTTAGTATTAATTTAGATTTAGTTTGTCTTCATGAGTAGTTTTTGGTAGTAAAATAATTTTTATTTTTCTTCACAATTAAAACGTGTTTTAGCATTTGAATTCAACTCATTATTGGTGAAATAGCATTTATTATGTTTTGTTCATTGCCCTGTATTTTATCTTGATTAACTATTCATATGTATGTAATAGTGTATATATTTATATGTGCAGGTATTTGACTTTTATTTTTATAATTCTGGAAAATTTCAGTAAAAATTTTTGCATTTCACACTTATCTGCATCTACATTTTATTACCTATGTTTGCTATTATTAAAAATGATAGTTTGATAAAATATTTTATGGATATATTGATTCTAATTTGTTTTTATTGTTTTCCTCCATTTAGTAGCTAATACTATTTACTTTGATCTCATGAGAGCATTCATTTCATTGCATTTCTTCCAGTAATTTTTTTTAAAATATAACAAAATTACATTCTATATAATTAAGCCATTATTTACATGACCCTCAAGAATGAAAAGCACTTTTAAAAATAATTTTGTTTATATGGAAATGCTCTCTAGGACTCCCGAAAAGTCATCAATAATATCATAAATATCATGAGTAACACATTTCATCATTTTACCTTCAATAGTTTATGTGTTATGATTCTAAAATATGATTGAAAAGACATATAATCATAAAATTATTAAACAAACGAAAAAAATTATTTTAATTTTCCATTAGGTCCTTTGTAAAACAAATTAATTTTAAAAATTACAAAAATATTACGTTTGGGTAGTACAAACTTCAAATAAAAAAATGAAACACATTATAATCAATTTATAAATCAACCTCAAATTAAAATATTATTCTACAAATGCTTTCTAATTTCATTCTACTAAAACAATAGTTATCAAATATTTTGATGTAAATAATAGTAATAATTGAATATCTCTTAAGTATCTGCATATTCTGCCATTAAAAAGGGGGCCTGGTCACATCCAAGTGAAGTGGGGCAGAGCAACCTACATAAAATATACTGCTCAAACGTAAAGCAAGGGACGCACCTAGAGAATTTGTATTGGAAATGGGCATCGGCGCAATGGAATCCGAGTTTTATATTTTTTTATGTGCATGTAATTTCAATAAATCAGGATTCCAGTTGGCCCATAATTAAGGTCTGATTCCACCTATTCACATTAGGAGAAATTTTGACCTACATTGCCATTGAGTTTCTTTGTTCTTTATATCAACTTTAACTCATTCCCTCCTGCAATGCTACTTCCGTATTTAATTTATTTGCCTGAGAAAGGGAAGTAACCCCGTTTTGAAATTGTTTAAATTTTTTAAATATGTATTTAAGCTACTAAATATTATTTAATGTTAATGAATTAAGAACAAATGCACCAAAAAATTAATAAGGTTTAATATAAATATAACATTAGCGGGGAAAAAATAACTAACAATGACCAAAAATCGATTTTCGGCACCTCGGACGAACACATGCTACATATAGACGCGCCGTACTAAAGCAAACGTAGTTTTAAAGTTAAACAAGATAAAAACTTCCGGTTTTTAAATTAAAATCACGCTGAACCACGCCATCGCCAGAAGTCTCGAGGGATGTGAGATTTCATTGCTATTTTTAAATAGATATGAGAGAGGTGCGTCGCTATGCGCCGGGACGCATTTGGACGCATCCGGCGAAACCCGTAAAAGACGCATTTAGTCGCAAACGTCGGGAATGAGTTAAGTGAGGAAAATCGTATGTCAATATAAGGCATCTTTGCATTAAAAAATTTGGTCTAAATAATCAAAGTAGGTCTGTCATATTAAAAGTAGGCCTGCATAATATATTGAGGCACATGTGTGCAAAATTTAGGATAACCCATGAAACATTTTCACAATTCTCCTCAATGTAGACCTCATTATGCAAAGGTCACACAGGCCATTTTTTATTAGTGATCACGCCCCCTTTTAAATGGCAGAAGACACCATAATTAGCTTAGGAAATATTCAATTATTACCACTATATACATCAAAATATTTGATAACTTGTGTTTCAGAATGCATTTTGAAGACATTTAAACTGGAATGTTTTAATTTGAGCTTTAAAAACCCGATAGAGTCCATATTATTAACGATCAGAATTCTCCTTGTGATTAACGTCATGGGCAACCATTCACAACCATAATGGCTATACCATAGTACTACCTCAGAGTTTCATTCATATGATTTCACTGTTTGTAAAATCTATTAAACCATTGGTCAGGGAAAGCTTTAATTAATTAGTCATGTGCCAAAGTTGAAAGTTCAAAATAAGTAAATCCCAAACAGTATTTTTGGGGATGCGTTGAATTACATAGACTATATAGCACTTGTCACTTGTCGGTATAATGGATGCCTTAGATTTGGTAGACAGAAAAGCCATGTATTAATAAATTATATTAAATTTACTGATATACATAGTGCATAGTCAGATGAACTAAAATTTATATATAATTGCATAACATTTAAATATTTTTTAATACAGCATTAGTTCTGAAAATAAAACTCGTATAAAATTATCATTAAAACGAGTTATACAGCTCGTGACGCAAACAGCAGAATTGGGTCACAGAATTTTTAAGATGCTGTCCATGTTATAAAAGGGCTAACGAAGTTGTACTTTAAAAATTCTTAACTTTTAAACTACAACCGCTAAAAATATGCTATTGATTGGTGTTAGTGTTATAAATCTGTAAAAAAAATTAGCTCTATTCTACTATGCCATTGATTTATTTTTACAAATTTTTTACCAAAGCACCCACACATGGTGCTATGAAAATTGGCACACATGTAGACGTAGATCAATTAGTCAAAGTTGACTGATTGAAAATGAAAAAAGAAATTAAACATGTAATGAAATGCAGGCCACGATGTCCTCCAAAGCGAAAAGGATGGAAAAGAAACAAAATTGTGTGACAATAAATTAATGAAATTGCACAACAATAAAAAAATTATAAAACAGGTATTTTCTTGCGCCGACGCCCATTTCCAATTATTTTTTTAGTAGTCTCCCTTGCTTTATCGAAGTGCCTACACTCCGACATATTGTGCCGCGACATAAATTTCCGGTTCTTTGTCTCTCAAGACACAAATGTTCCCACTTTCGTTAGTCGATCTCGTTTACCTTTCCCACGTCTAGACTTTCTAGCGATAAGTTAAATCCGTTTTCTTCTCCTTTTAATTCTCGGTACGTTGTGTAATTACTGCCCGCTTGCTAGGCAAGTTGCAGTTTAAATATTCATTTAGGGACTACATCAATTTCAGATGTCAGCCATCTTGTTGCTAACCGGAAGTAGAACTTCGTACCAGCGCCGGAATAAAATGAAACTAATTTTCACTAAATTGGCCCGAATAATAATTATTGTCAACAATGTGTATTACACATTAAACTTAGAGATGAGAATCGAACCCTTTTTTTAACTAATACCCCCTTTTTATAATGTTGGTTTGTTTCGGTCGTCAGCAGGGTTCGGTATCAACTTAAGTTCGGTTTCGGCAACCACAGTAGTTCGGCGCGTTCGGTAATTTGAATAAAATAAATATATTATTGCATTTAGTATAAGCATAATGGTTTCTTTTTATTAAGAAATTCACACAAAAAAGAAATAGGCAAATCAAATTTTCTATAGCTTTTATACTAAAATGGAATTTATATTACTATAAATAAATGCGTTTCGTTAAAATTTTAAATTAATACGATATAAAAAGGAAACACGTTTTTAGTGGGCTTTTTTTTTATTTTATTTTATTAATTTTTATTTTAAGGGCGATTCGAAATAGTTTATTATGAAATATCAATCCTTTCAACCCAGACCAGGGAGCTCTCTGAGACTACTCTTCCACACTGTATAGTAGCAGTGGCGTAGCAGGCGGGTGCGGATCGCACCGGTTGCCACCATCCTTATAATTTTTATTTTAAGGGCGATTCGAAATAGTTTATTATGAAATATCCATTCTTTCAACCCAGACCAGGGAGCTCTCTGAGACTACGCTTCCACAATGGATAGTAGCAGTGGCGTAGCAGGCGGGTGCGGATCGCACCGGTTGACACCATCTTTGGGGGGGGGGGTGACATTAAACTGAACAATTACATATTTGCAGAGCACACACTGCTCGGTCTAACCGAATTTCATAAAAGGATATCTGATCACACTTAAATTTTTCACACATATAATCAATCCAAGTAAACAAACTGGAATATTGATGAAAAGTCTGACACTAACACGTTGGAGTGCTCACCATGCTGCTGTTAAAACAGTGAAAGATAAGTTAAATGAATGTGTTGCGGTGATTGAAGCTTTATGCGATCTTCTTGTAATTTTGCACACAAGAGTTGCAGGGTTTTTACACACTGTCTGTAATTTCACGTTTATCTGCTACCTTTACGTTTGGATTGATCTAATTAAGGAGATTAATCTTAAACAGCAGTACTTGCAGACAACTTTACACTTGACAAAGTGGTGACCAACCTAGAGGCCTTAAGATTGTTTCAGCACATGAAGGGCTGTCCTTTGGTGGAACATGCAATTGAAAAGACACTTTTAAAATAAGATCAATATGGAATTTCGGAAAAGAGAATATTTAGGTTTAAGAAGGGAATTGCAGGGGTACAATTGAAGATGATGGACTCTCTCTGCCAGAGGCAAACAGTTGAAAATGCTGAAGTGAATAGATCGCTTTCATTCTGAACTCCAGATCAGATCATCAGCGATCAAGGAAGTAGCAGATATGTTTGAGGCTGTTCGAACCAAGAGTCTACTATCAGCAAGTGAAGAAGAGTTATTGTTGTCCGTTCCAAAACTAACATTTTTCTTTGATGAGTTATCAGAAGATGAACTTTTAAAAGAAATACAAAGGCTTTGAAGACAGACAGGTGATAATGAATTTCAAAAAGTCATGGACCGATCACTATTTGATGTTTTGAATTTCATAGCTGAATGGGACATCCAAAATCTCTTCCAATACTCACGCTAAGTCTTCAATAGTTCCTTACGATCTGTGTGTCTGAGGCTTCATGTGGATGGAGCTTTTCAAAACAAAGACTTATCAAGAACTATTTACGACCCTTCATAGTACAGTCAATAAGCTTTCCAACCTGGCTCTACTATCAATTGAAAGTGATACCGTGAAGAATACTAATTTTGATCAAGTTATTCATTGACAGGTTTGCAGTTTTGAAGACCAGGAAAGGAAAATTCTAAATAAAGTAAATTAAATGTTTTTACAAAAACACTATAACTTAACGTTGTTACATTTGTTAAATACATTTACCTCATGGCCGTAAATTAATTTGTTTTTTGTTCTTATCATTATTACACTGTGGACTTATTTTAACAAAAAGAAATCCATCATGGAATTCCGGAGGAGGGGGTGACACCTTGAGTTCATCGCACCGGGTGACACCAACCCCTAGCTACGCCACTGTATATAGTAGTATTAGATTTATACACAATTCTAAAAACACATTCATCATTCTATAATATTCCTTCCCTGGCTTTAGTATTTCTTGATAACAGCTCTTTTTTTATTTTAATAATGCCTTTTCCGAGAATGTACACAATATTTTCGACTGCTTGTTGACCGCTAGCCGCTTGTACTTTTTGGTCAACTTTAGTAGGTGATACACCGCTTTACTACTTTGATAAAGAAATTTTAAAATTAATGTTTATGATAATTGTAACTGGTAACCTATTTACATTAGGTCTAACTTCATAAGTTATTGTATTGTTCGGCATTCGGGTTCGGCCGTCGGCAGGGTTCGAGGTTAGTCGGTTCGAGTTCGATTCCCATCTCTAATTTAACTGCAAATGTCTTTAACCGTAAGATAACTAAGATATGTCTTGAGCAAATTAAATTTGAGCTTTGCATCGGTCTTGTTTTATTTAACCCTTCGACTGATATTTAAGGGAATGTAGCAGCTGTACATTGTGGACATATGTTTTTATAACTCACGTTTGATGCCTTTGGCTGCATTCAAACTTTATTTTTGAAAGTCAACATCCCAACTTTGTGCCCCCCCCCCTGATGCCACAGTGGTTGCAGGGCCCATGCGACCGCCCTGCAATTAAAATGAAAGAAAGGACAAGTCCGATCGACCAGTAATTGCACTGGACTTTTTTTTTAATGAGAACCACACATTCCTATAACCTACAAAAATCTTAATCTTCGTCCACCATGTCCACAGATATCATTCTGACTCGCATGTTTGGCTCTGTCGAGATAAGTACAATCTGTGGATCCGATACGAAAATCCAAAAACGTCCTTAAAAAATCGGCGAACAAACGTATCTGTGATGCTTTATTTCAAGGATGTTCTCGAATTTGTAGACTTTCCCTGCTAATAAAATACTTGCGTGATTCTCATTTATGAATTTATGAAAGCCCTTGTCAACCAGATTCCCCTTCCGTTCTGTACATTGCGAACATACTTTTCATAACTCACGTTTGATACCGTTGACTGCATTCAAACTTTATTTTAAAAACTTCAACATCCCAACTTTGGGCCCCTTAAATATCCGAGCCACCAACCCCCCCCCCCACCAATGACGCCACATACCTCGTTTTGCTATTTCATTTACTATGCTTGAATGCAGTCCTTGAATTATTATATTTTAGATCTTGACACTTGACTGCTACTAATTGTGTGTATTTGTCCTAACCTTGTTGTCACTTGGTCTGTTTAGAATTTGATTTGTTTACTGTGCTCTGTTCTCAGTGATATCTTCATTTGTCCTGTGTGCTGAAGAAGGCTCTATGCCGAAACGTCCTAATCTTTTTGTCCTGTTCTCTAATTCAAGCTTCCACATACCTCGTTTTGCTATTTCATTTAATTACTAGGCTTGAATGCAGTCCTTTAATTATTATATTTTAGCCCTTCAGTTAACACACTTTCAGAAAAGCAACAATTTCCTGAAGTATACAGTCAGCATAACCATTTTACTTGGTAACTTTTCTAGGAATCGTTCAGCCACTTTGGTCAAAATTGGCCCCCCAATAATCACAACTTCGTACGAACGAATATAAGTAGGGGTGCACCGAATAGCAACTTGACCGAGTACTGATCAGTCAGCCGATGCCGCAAAATAGTGTTGTATATAGCTTGGGAATGGCTACTACTACTAAATATGTCTAGTTATACATTGCTGTGAGTAAGAATAATTTATAGCACTATTTTATACAACACAATGCAGGTAATATTAATATTTGGTAATATAATTAATTAAACTACAGAGCTATACGATATGAGTAAACGTACTATTTCCCCAAATAAGGCCTTGGTCCTACAAGGGGGGGGGGGGGGGGGACAATTTGAAAATGTAGGGGGGTCGTTAAGTATTATTGACAGAGAGAGAGAGAGAGAGAGGGGATGTGTTCATGTTTCAAGTAGAGTTGAACAGGAATTTGTTTATATATTTATTTAGCTCTTCATCTAGTGGGCGGCTGGGGCATCCAAATTTTAGTTTTTGGTGATTAGATGGGGAATGAATCAAAGCAGATTTAGAAACACCCACGTACGGGGAGAAAGCCTTTGGTTAAACTTTAATTATAATATATAGTTACGGGTAGTGTACCTTTAACTACACCATAAATAATTTTTTTTATATGGCATCCTTCGGTCTTCGCGAGACCATTGAGTAGCTATGTACACTTTGACGAGTGGCTCACTAGGACAATCCTGGAATGGCAATCTCGACTGCATTCTTCGCAAGAGAATATCTATTCCTGGTTATATTTGGCCTTCCGTAAAATTCTTTTTGTTGCAAGGACTTCGTTTCGCGTATCTTCTGCCTTTTTTAAACTCCTTCATATACTGCTGTTCGCCTGCTGGAACGTTGTTCGGAAATGATCTCCCATGTGTTGTTTTCAATGTTGGCTTCCCTCATGTTCCTTTTTCAAAGGTCCATAAACCTCAGGCGTGGCCGTCCTTTTGCCAACTCTCCATACAGCAGCATCTTTGGGATACGGCCTTCCTCCATTCTCCTTACATGACCCAACCAGCGAAGGCACCTCTTGCTAAGAATGGAGAATATGCTGAACGTTCTAAGACCTCTGTATTAGGCCATTTGTCCTGCCATCGATTGTCGAATGCGTAAAATGCGACGCAGACATCTTTGATGAAAGCTGACGAGTTTCCGATCATGACTGGTATATGAGGTCCACACTTTACTGCCATGTAGGAGCTTACTAAGTGCACATGCCTGATACTGATAGACACTTATTTTGTTTTTTTTTCAGTTAGACTGAGATTATTCCACACCCACTTATCCAGTTTAGCCATAGTTGCCGCTGCTTTTGTGATCCTGATATTTATTTCTCCATCAAAGCAGAGAGAACTAGAAATATTGGATCCAAGGTATGTGAAATGCTCAACAACTCACAGATTAAGGCCCTCAATAGATATGATTGGAGGGGACGGTGCTTCTTGCAGCATGACATGCGTTTTCTGTAGACTAATTGATAGTCCAAACTCTTTACAAGCATTATAAAAAGTT